TTAAATGAACTCCGAATTCATACGTGAATCTCTTTTGTGCTCTTGTGTTCGTTGATTTTAAGGATTTTGGACTTCTTAGCCCCATAAGATGATTCATTTTTCTTAGAATTCGTTGTTGAGTGATTATTATGTTTTCATGTGTTTGTTTGTTATTTTCATTGAGTTGAGGTTGTTTAAGCTCAAAAAAAATTCTCAATTTATTGAAAATATGTTGTGTTCATCTACGTGAATAGAAAAAACGTCATTGGTTTGAGAAGCTCATAGAAATATGTGAAATGTGCTCATCATTAGGAGAAAAAGTTTGTTAAAATGCATAAGGTATTGGCGGTTTGTGAATAGATTATGTATGAGAGTTGAATGCATAATAGATTCTCTCTTTTATAAACTTTTTCTATAGTGGAAGTATGTTCTCATGCTTGAATAGAGAGTTGGGGTTCTAAGGTATATTTCAAAATGGGCCTTTGAATTGCATGACTCCGGGCCGTGTGGAGAGTTGACAATCCTCCATATCGTGGTTAAGGAAATGAATCGACTCGGCATTTGATTGATTTTTTCTATTCTTAAGTGAGTAAGTTACGTAATATATTGTCTACGTGCCTATTATACGTGTAATGTTCAACTTGTGTTTGTTCTCTTTTTCATTTTGTTTTGGGTTCTTGGCGGTGTTTTTTGGGTTACCTTTGTTGGAGGAATTGATTATCTTTTGAGCTTGTTTTCCCCCATTTTATAAAAAAAAACCAAAAAAAATAGGAAAATATAAAAAATCAAAAAATATTTACTGTTCATTCAACCCCCCCTTTGTGTTATATAAGTATAAGTTTTATTTAATAAGTGTATATTATAAGTACTTGTTTATAAGTTATAAATATAAGTTCTTTATACTATATTTTTAGTATGTGTTTTATGTTTATAGTTATATTATAGTTCTTCGTTTATAAGTTAAATTTATAAGTTTTTATATTTATTTAGTTATAAGTTTTATACGTCTTATTATATGTGTAGTAGTTTTTTTGTGACAATGTGTTTGCATGCTATTTTGATTTCAAAAGTACAAATTTTCTCCGTGGGATCGACCCTTACTTGCCCTAGCTATAGTTTTTATTTGATTATATATTGGGGGTTAGTTAAGGATATTTTATAAATTTTTAATTTGTTTTGGACCTTACATATATATATATATATTTTATATATATATATATATATATATATATATATATATATATACATATATATATATATATTTTTATATGTGTATATAGGTCTTATACATTTTAAGGAAGCTTGACAGAGAAGACCGAGAGAGAGAGAGAGAGAGAGAAGATAAGTTTAAGTCTGTTAGGCTACACTAAAAGAAAAAAGGCTGCACTAAAAAACGGGTTTTTTCAAAATTTTAAAGGGGCCCAAGGCATCAAGGCGAGGTAAGGCGAGAAAAGGCGACGCCTAGGTGAGCGCCTGGTCGCCTTAAGGTTTTCTAGGCGAGGCGAGCAGACAAGGCGGCCAGTGGCAGCGCCTTATTGCCTAAGCGATGCCTTACAAACTATGGTACTGAGTATTACCAACCGTTTCTAGAGGAATTGAAGCAAGGGTCGAATAGCGTGGAGGATTACTGGCGAGAGATGGAGACTTTAACAACTCGAATAGCCATTCCAGAGTCTACAGATTCATTAATGGCCATATTTTTATATGGACTTAGTCCTGCTATGAGAAATGAGATGGATCGTTTATAATGTCATTCATTTGAGGACATGGTGAATGCGATAGTAGGAATAGAAAGGCGTTTGTTTTAAAACCTTCCTACTTCTACTCATTCTTTTAAAGTTTCCACATCTTGGGATTTTCAACCGCGCAAGTATAACATCGCCACTACTTCCAAAGTAGTCAATCTCGAGACCTTTAAACTCAGAGATTTGTGTTCGGATCCTCTTGAGGAAGTGGGAATGATATTAATCAAGAAGGCGCACCTGTGGAGAAACACAACATTTCAGTTATAGGCGATCTAGGGTGTACCAGAGGAAGACCAAAACGTGCCGACCAACAGATACATACCGACATCCCATCTATTGAACTTACAGATTCCAGGATGAATCTTTCCAAGAACAAAGAGAAAAACTTTCGCACCTCTACGATACCGTGCCGTAGCAACACAAAAAATGTGTTTTTGGGGCTCACAAGTCTATAACTGCGCCTACACCATTACCAACGGTACCTAGATGAATTAAAGAAGAAACTGGTATTGAACTCTATTCATTTCCAACTGTATCTTGAGGAATTGAAGCAAGATTTTTGTATGGAATTAGGCCTATCACTAGACGTGAGGTGGGGCGTCAACAATATCATTCCTTTGGCGACATGGTAAATGCGGCGGTAAAAGTAGAAAGGCATTTGTTTCAAAACATCCATATTTCTTATTCTTTTAAAGTTTCCATGTCTTGACATTTTCAACCGTGCGAGTACAACATCTCGACTACTTCCAAGTTCCAATGTAGTTGGTCTAGAGACCTTTGAACCCAAAGATGCAAAGTCAAATCTTCTTGAAGAAGGGGGGAATAATATGAAT